ACTGTGTGAAATTTTTGTAGAAATAAATATGTGTTCCTGTGCCACCACGGTGTCAGGAGAAGGGAGAAAACATATAGTTCACAAAAAAGCAAAATTTGTACGGGGGGGGAAAAGGGGAAAAAAAGGTGTAACCCCCCCCCCCCCCCCCCCCCCTATATACTAAAAAATTGCTGTGCCTCGTGCAAGGCGGCAGGTTAGTAAGGGATGTCAAAGTCCTATTATGGCTCTTGGGGATGTTTATCACTGGCCTCCAACTTTTGTTTATGTTTTATACTTCACAGAATTTTAATCACGTTAGGCTGGCATCGTGGCAGAGTGATCAGTGCGTGGGACGCGCAATCCTGAGCTGCCGAGGTTTGAATCCCGTTTTGACCATCAGCTAGACTTTTTCCCGATAGTACCCAGTCCCAGTCCTCTAAAGCCCTTGTAAATAGTCAATCACCAGTTAGAATTGATTATCAAATGAAACGTAATTTTAATACTTATAAAATTTTTTAGGGGAGTGCACTGTGTTCACAGTTAGTCGGCAGCGAAGTAAATCAGTTTATTTCGTCAATTCAATTTAAATTGTCCATGTTTACTTTAAAGTTTCTTTCAAATTTTTCCACACTTGCTCAATTGTGCCCCAATTGTGTCCCAGGAAATTTCAAAATTTCTTTCTGCGTTTTCTTCCAAGAAAATGTTTGTCTATTTTTCAGGCTACACGGCTCTGTAATAGGCCACCCAAGCTAATAAGGACAGTGGGACTGTCTACCAGTATTCAAATGTCAACGTAGTTTTTGTAGAACTTAATTCAAAGGCTCAAATGAACGATTAATTAAAGTAGAATTTAGCACAATCAGAATTTATTTTTATCTTATTTTGTCTTCAAACTAAGCTGTATACTTCTTCGCGCGGCAAATGGAGAAATCGGGGGCAGGGGGCGGGTGGAGTTGGAGAGATAGAGATCAAGTAAGAGGAAAGCGGGAAAAACTGCGATAAGGTTTAGTCCATACATGCACAGACAGCGCAAACTCGCAATTAATTGTCTGGCCCCGGTTGTTCTAGCCTGTTCACAGACCCTCTATTTTCTCTTCAAAGTCCGTCGAACGCGGGTGATAAAATATAAACCGCAGGGGATTTATCGACAGCCAGCGCAAGAGTAGCGGTGGGGGAAGAAGAAAATAGACGTGCCGCGTCGGAAATCTGCTTCAACCAATCAGAAGCACTTCCCAGATCTGGCTAGCGACGCGTCATCAGTATGGAATTTCTGCGCGCATTTCTGAGACGTTATTTCGCGGGGAAACGACCGGTGGCGGTGGCGCTGGCGGTGGGGGAGTCGCAAAATGCCTTCTGTAGTCTCAGGCTAGAGGTTTGCATGAAAGCGTGAAGTCTTTCGTCATTTTTTCCAGCTCTGCCAGGGTAGCTTAGCTATCGCACACTCTGCTGTCACTTTTTCTTTCAAAATCACTAAAATTGACGTCAACTTTATCGATATCAGCATATTTGGTGAACGCTAATTGGCCGTTAGGAAGAATTAGCCGAGGGTCTGAGCCAAACAGAAACGGGTACGAAGTATTATATTGTCATGGTAATCATTTGTCACATTGCTACGCTGATGCACGACATGCATGAGCAACAAGGCCGTGTATCAGTCAATTGCATTGTAATACAAAGATATCTATTTTGCGTATGTTGGAAGTTGTAAAATAAAGTAAATATTAGTATGCATGGCACACCTTATTGAAATGGGTGATACATACGAACGGAGTCAACCTTGTTAAGGGAACTTGTGTTGGTAACCTAGCAACAATCTGAAGTGAAGAAAACGCGGAGAATGTTTGTGAAATTTTATGAAATTTAAATCAGAAATTAAAACAATAAAATGACGTACTTTCGCGAGAAAGTGAAAAGCCACGAAACACATCCTGTAAGGGGAGATCCCAAAAATATTTCGTTTAGTTGTCCAAACGTGAAATTTTGACTGCCGGTTTACATATCACAAAACGCGTTTTAAGGATGTCCTTGTATAAAGAAGACGAGGTATGTTCTGTTAATTAGCATGAAAACCTGCAACAAATTTTTATTTCGGTGAATGGTAATAACGTCACACGATGCAAAATACACTACCACGATCACCGAAGCCAATCGGCTGGTACGAAATGGATTTTTTCACTGCAACAAGGTGGAGATTATATTATATTCGTTTACCACTTTAGAAATTATAAGTTCCGTAGCTCATGATAGTTAAGCAATTCTGCATTTCTTATTACGTTGATTATTTAGTTTTTTATTAGTTCTGTTGTAGCTCTTCTGCTTTTAACGATAGAGCATTTGATTAAGTTCAGTCCGAACGTATGAATGAATTAAGGCGAACAGGCATGGCGAATCATGATTATACTGATCCATCGAAAAACACTAATGGAAAAACGCTTATAGGAAAAAGCATAATGTTCACTTTGGTGTTGGCAATAGGCGCTGTATACAAGGTGATTAGTCAAATCTCTTTTCAGCTGTACAAAGTTGATCAAAGTCGGGAAACGGAAGTAATGGCGTCGCATTTAAATCTACGATTATTTCCGAGGGTAAATTTTAGCGTCTCACTTTATTTTTTCTCCTTAAGCTCTCAGGCACGATTTCGAGGTTTTCCGTTTATGACTGAAAAATAAAACAAAAAAAAAATGAGTCGACGCTTGACCGCTGGGAGCTTCCCATTACTTAAAAAGAAATTTTATGGAATGACGTTTCTTCAAGGAGTAATTTTTTATTCTCGGTATAAAAATTAGTTATAACGCGCCAGGGATCCTGAATGCATACATTTGCCTCATTTAACCGTGCAATTACAAGTTTAGCCACAGAGGACAATAGGGAACTTAAGAACCACGACGACGACTTTGTCGACGACGACCGGAAGTGAGTTACAGTGTAAATTGTTTTACCTGAAAGACTGTCTGTTCAGCGGGTTGAACATCTGTCGATTCTTCGCGAACAGCTTGCTTCGGGATTCCCAGTCGAGTTCTCTGGATGTGTTTTCCCCAGGAAAAGGCAAACAGAAGACTCAACAAGACGAATCCGTACGACGCTTTCATGGCCACTACTTGGAAAAATTACAAGCCAGCACAATAATCGACCCTCTCTTCCTTTGTAGTTCGATTACGATGAGATCGATTATCTTTGGTTTCTAATTGTTTGTCTCGCAGCGTTAAATCCGATATTCTCTTTCTATTGTCTTTTCTCATTCTTTTGAGCCCTGCATTCTTTCTATTGAAGTGACCCCTATTTCCTGTGCAGTCATCCGGGAACTGACTTAATAGATATTTTGTACCTGTAGAAATTCTCGGGTATAATTGTCGCTTTGTGCGATCTTTACGTCTCAAAATCATTGAAAACTTGCAAGGCAATAAAATAAGGGCTTCACTGCGCTAATTTTTTTTTATCGGAAATTCGTGTACACAACCCGGTGGTGGGGGTGCTCTACCCCGGGTGCTCAACAAAGTTTGATACGGTGCGGCTCCGGCCCGGCTCCTGATACCATTTGAATTGTGACCTCCTCTTTCTGATATGCTTCTTCTTTTCTTGGCATAGCTCTTATTCGACGCTAATTGCCACTGCCTGTTGTGCTCAGCTATAAACGAATTTGCCTACCGCAAGCGAGATCTCCATCTCATTCTGGGAATGGCCGGGCCGCCGACTCTCGTGATATCCAGCAGGCGGGTCTTGCTATGATTTAATTGAAATGCATCTCTCGAGGGCGGGATTTTTGACAACAGCGTTTTTGTGTGGATATCTTTTATCTGTGGATAAAAACACGAAAACTCTCTGAAAAATGAACCATTTATCTCGAGCCAAAAGGCTTAAGTTGTTAGTCTATACTAATATGGATCATTGTCACCATAGCTTTGCAGAACATTGCAGCAAACTCATGCTCAGACAAAAGTCACTATTGTACTCGGTGGACAGATAGGGAAGAATGCTGTAAAAAAAACCCTATGCCTCGTGCAAGGCGGCAGGTTAGTAAGGGATGTCAAAGTCCTATTATGGCTCTTGGGGATGTCTATCACTGGCCTCCAACTTTTGTTTATGTTTTATACTTCACAGGATTTTTAATCGCGTTAGGTTGGCGAGCTGAGCTGCCGAGGTTTGAATCCCGTTTTGACCACCAGCTACATTCTTACCCGATAGTACCCAGTCCCAATCCTCTCCAGGCCTTGTAAATAGTCAATCACCAGTTGGAACTGATTATCAAATGAAACTTAATTTTAATACTTATATATTTTTTTGAGGGAAGTGCGCTGTGTTCACACTTAGTCGGCAGCGAAGTAAATCAGTTTATTTCATCAATTCAATTTTAATTTTCTTTACTTTGAAATTTCTTTACTTTCAAATTTTTCAACACTTGCGCAATTGTGCCCCAATTGTGTCCCAGTAAATTTCAAAATTTCTTTCTGCGTTTTCCTCCGAGAAAACATTTCTCTATTTTTTCAGGCTACACGGCTCCGTAATAGGCCTCCCAAGCTAATAAGGACAGTGGGACTGTCTACCAGTATTCAAATGTCAACGTAGTTTTTGTAGAACTTAAGTCAAAGGCTCAAATGAACGATTAAAGTAGAATTTAGCACAATCAGAATTTATTTTTATCTTATTTTCAAGGTTAAGCTGTACACTTCTTCGTACGGCAAATGGAGAAATCGGGGGCAGGGGGCGGGTGGAGTTGGAGAGATAGAGATCAAGTAAGAGGAAAGCGGGAAAAACTGCGAAAAGGTTTAGTCCATACACAGGCAGCGCAAACTCGTAATTATTTGTCTGGCCCCGCTTGTTCTAGCCTGTTCACAGACCCTCTATTTTCTCTTCAAAGTCCGTCGAACGCGGGTGATAAAATATAAACCGCAGGGGATTTAGCGACAGCCAGCGCAAGGGGGGTAGTAGGGGAGGAAGAAGAAAATAGACGTGCCGCGTGGGAAATCTGCTTCAACCATATCAGAAGCACTTCCCAGATCTGGGTAGCGACGCGTCATCAGAATGGAATTTTGCGCGCATTTCTAAGACGTTATTTCGCGGGGAAACGACCGATGGCGGTGACTCTGGCGGTGGCGGCGTCGCAAAATGTCGTCTGTATTCTCAGGCTAGAGGTTTGCATGAAAGCGTGAAGTCTTTCGTCATTTTTTCCAGCTCTGCCAGGGTAGCTAAGCTATCGCACACTCTGCTGTCACTTTTTCTTTCAAAATCACTACAATTGACGTCAGCTGTATTGATATCAGCATATTTCGTGAACGCTTACTGGCCGTTAGGAAGAATTAGCCGAGGGTCTGAGCCAAACAGAAACGGGTACGAAGTATCATATTGTCGTGGTAATCATTGTCACATTGCTACGCTGATGCACGACATGCATGAGCAACAAGGCCGTGTATCAGTCAATTGCATTGTAATACAATGATACCTATTTTGCGTATGTTGGAAGTTGCAAAATGAAGTAAATATTAGTATGCATAGCACACCTTCTTGAAATGGGTGGTACATACGAACGGAGTCAACTTTGTTAAGGGAAACTTGTGTTGGTAACCTAGCAACAATCTGAAGTGAAGAAAACGCGGAGAATGTTTGTGAAATTTTATGAAATTTAAATCGGAAATTAAAACAATAAAATGACGTACTTTCGCGAGAAAGTGAAAAGCCACGAAACACATCCTGTAAGGGGAGATCCCAAAAATATTTCGTTTAGTTGTCAAACGTGAAATTTTGACTGCCGGCTTACATATCACAAAACGCGTTTTAAGGATGTCCTTGTATAAAGAAGACGAGGTATGTTCTATTAATTAGCATGAAAACCTGCAGCAAATTTTTATTTCGGTGAATGGTAATAACGTCACACGATGCAAAATACACTACCACGATCACCGAAGCCAATCGGCTGGTACGAAATGGATTTTTTCACTGCAACAAGGTGGAGATTATATTATATTCGGTTACCACTTTAGAAATTATAAGTTCCGTAGCTCATGATAGTTAAGCAATTCTGCATTTCTTATTACGTTGATTATTTAGTTTTTTATTAGTTCTATTGTAGCTCTTCTGCTCTTAACGATAGAGCATTTGATTAAGTTCAGTCCGAACGTATAAATGAATTAAGGCGAACAGGCATGGCGAATCATTATACTGATCCATCGAAAAACACTAATGGAAAAACGCTTATAGGAAAAAGCATAATGTTCACTTTGGTGTTGGTAATAGGCGCTGTATACAAGGTGATTAGTCGAATCTCTTTTCAGCTGTAGAAAGTTGATCAACGTCGGGAAACGGAAGTAATGGCGTCGCATTTAAATCTATGATTATTTCCGAGGGTAAATTTTAGCGTCTCACTGTATTTTTTCTCCTTAAGCCCTCCGGCACGATTTCGAGGTTTTCCGTTTATGACTGAAAAATAAAACAAAAAAAAATGAGTCGACGCTTGACCGCTGGGAGCTTCCCATTACTTAAAAAGAAATTTTTGGAATGACGTTTCTACAAGGGGTAATTTTTTATTCTCGGTATAAAAATTAGTTATAACGCGTCAGGGATCCTGAATGCATACATTTGCCTCATTTAACCGTGCAATTACAAGTTTAGCCACAGAGGACAATAGGGAACTTAAGAACCACGACGACGACTTTGTCGACGACGACCGGAAGTGAGTTACAGTGTAAGTAAATCCAGTTATCGTTCCTTCTTTCTCCTAACAAGCGATGTTGATTGAAAATTCGACTAATGAATTGTTTTTACTTCGAAGAATGACAACAGCTGTGGAGGCCGAGCGAGCGAGCTAGTAAGTGATAAATTTATTTGTAGGTATTGAGGTAAGGCAACATCATTTATCTTTAATATAGAGGAAATAAACTTTATATGGAAAACAGCTATCACATCAAAAAGTCTCTTTTTCCAAATCTAAACTCTGACAGACACTCGGACTCGGTCATCTCATTCAGGTTGAAAGTTGAGTAATCTTCGTACGGAAAGCAGGTGTTTTTCTAGTCGAAAAGGTCAGACAACACAAAAAATTCTTCATCGTCAATGAAATTAGACGTACGGCTAAAAAATAAGATCTTGCATAGTTTTAAAAGACGCCATTGCGAAAACCTTTGTTGGGAACGAACATCACAGTTTTACATTTGTGTTTACATTCAGCGTCGTCATCGTCGACCTACCGACCGACTGCATCTTAAGTTTTCTTTTTTCCCGCCGCAACCGACGTTCTCGTTCCAGTCTTTTCCCAGTCAACAGACGTCGTCGTCGCGAACTTCGTCGTGGTTCTTAAGTTCCCTAATATAAATCACTAGCAAATGACGAGTCTGTCAAAAGTGGCTTTTTCGGTAACAGGCCAAACAATTTGCATGCGAAAATGAGCAATTTGGTCAACCTAAAAGGCGTGTATGATCTAATTAGACCGTGTGATATCGCCTGTAAAAATTCCTTCTGATTAGCTTCATCTTTACAAAGCCACGGTATTGTAACTTTCAGTTGTCCAATTTTCCTTCCGCAATACATTCCGTCGTGCTTTCACTTTTACTCCGACACAACGATGCTACCAACTATACTCAGTCAGATTCTGGACGAAGTTTTTAAATACCGTAACTTGAACATTTCACAGTTGGTCAGTTTTTCTCCTCAGTTCTACGTGTTTCACTTTTCCCTTAATATTACAATAATACATCAAATTGCACTTGGTGATACTAGACGAACGTTTCAGATATACCGGACATTTCCCGGTATTTGCCGAAGTTTTCCGATTATATACCGATCATTTTGAAAATCTCAGGCCGAGTGCCGAAAAACTAGGAAGGTGTCTGGGGATTACTAGATACACTTTTACATGTTCTTTGTTTAAATATACTTTTTTAACATGACACAGCCCTTTCTGCACGGAAATGTTAATAGACGATTTTACAGTTATGGACTTAGTACCCTAGCCTTGAAGTGAATGTGAGGCTGACGGTGACCTCATACAAACCTTCTTTGGTTTGTTATGGAAATTGTCCTCGAAAAATACTTGTTAGCATAAGAATAACTTGATTTACATGATAAAGCAGGAAGGTTTGTATCAAAACAAGGTCAGCGTCAGCCTCGCTTCCATCCGTAACTGTAAAATGGCCAATAACTGAAGTTTCAAATGCCTTCATTGTGTAATCATGACAATTAGAATTAGTTTTATCGGGGCCTGTGTGAGACCTTTTATGATGGATCGAGAGACTTCTATACGCGTAAAAGATTATAGGTATTTCTAGCTCGCCTTCTTTTAAGAAAAATTTGGAGTGGGAAGACGAAACTCGGCGATTTGATGCGTGGGAGATAAGGTAAAAACACCCAAAATACTCAACTCATAATGACGTTCATCGCATTAACAAACAAAACTATGTTTTTTCGACGAAACAAATTAAACGTTCTTCATAAATGGTAACATATCTGTTTTTCCTTTATTTTTCACAATAATTGTCCCCAGTCTCCCGTTTCATTAGCTTAAGGTTCTCTTCTGCAGATACAATTGAGGCAAAGATGGCCAATTATCGTAAATATAAAAGAAAAGTAATATTGCTACCATTTTGGAATAAAGAGTATGCCTTAGTCCAAATGACCCGATATTGCCGTTTCTTCACAGTTTCCTCTTTCTGAGTGCTTTGATGTCACAGTCGACAAATTATACGTGAATATGTTTTACCACAGCAGCTTTCATTACCTAAGATGCTTTACTGTTTCCGTCTGGGTTTTTAATTTTGTCTCAAAACACGCGAAGGCAGAGCTTTTGTCAGTATGCTTTTCTCGTCGCTTTAAATCACCCTGTTAATCAATGGGTCTACATGACGCCGGTTTTATGATAATCACCACAGGAAAGGTACGTATTTTAAACTATTTTATCGCTTTGGTTTTCTTATCCTATCTCAGCGCAACCAGGAATCAACTTAACACACGTATTAGTCATCTGCTTAGCCACGCATTTCTATGCGTTTATTATGGATCCTTCTCATACAGGATCGTTTCAGACAAAATAACACTTTTTGCTGAATGGTTTTTTTCCGAATTATTTAGGAAATCTTTGTTTGTTTTGTGTTTACAGTATTTCTGCTCATAATGTATGCCACTTGATAGTCTCATTCAAAAATGCAAACCAAAAACAGTGTGGTGAAACTAATCCTTACCAATAAATCGATGCATTTTTTCTACATCGTCTTTAATTAACTTTAACTACTATTGCAATTTTCGCAACAGTGCACTAAAAAAACTTTAAAGATAATGCGGTAATGTTCAGATTTATAGAAGTTCATTTAGTATACGTAGGCTGTAATCTGCACGTAATAATCTCTTCATCCGTGCGTAAAAAAGTATCAGTGGTCTCCTTCCCAGGCTTCGCCCGGTGCGTAAACTGGTCACGTCAGTCAACTCTCCTTATCAAGGAAACTGACTCCCTACCTCGTCGTGCACAAAGCGTTAATTTGTCTTTGCTAGTCTTTAAACAACAACTTATTATGTGCGTTAGTAACCAAACGTGTCAAGATGGCTGGACATGGGCCAAGTTCTTTTTTGGTGTTGTTTTTGTTGACCGAGAAGAAGTTTGCTTTGTTTGCACCCGGCAAAAATAATGCAACCGTTTGGCCGGTGCTTAAAACCTCGGAAGGTGTTAATTTCATCCCGGTAATTTTCCATTGTGATGAGTCGTTCCATCCGCATTATCACCGAACTATCCGGTTTTGAGTTCCCGTGCAAATGGTAAATATAGCACCTGCAGACTTTCTTTTTCATTAGAAAAGGCTAGAAACAAACCGTATTGGCATTAAAAATAATTTTAAGAAATATGAATAAATTTTGTCAAAATTCTCCAGGTAGACTTTCTTAAAGTCCATTATGGTAGGTTCATCGGTTATAGGGAAGGAATTTTCAGTTGTTTTTTAAAAGTATAAAACTGTAAAGTGGTAGCTAATATTATTATAAGACTTGAAAATATATGTTAAATTATGCTAACAATAGCTTCTTCTGTTTCACCAGCGGAAGTAAATATTGACGTCGAAAAATGCCCCTTTTTAACTGAGGCTTCAGTCAAGTGAGTAATTGACTTTGAAAATGAAGCAACTGGATCACAAACGAAACAAATTGAATTATTCAGCGAAATGTGAAGCTTGATTTTTGGCTTCGCTTCAATTAGCGGGGAATTATCAAAACAGGCTGGTACGTGACAAAGACTTTACTGTTTTGTAAACATAACCTGGGTTGTTAACCTGTCAAGAAATAATTAATTTCGAAAATCAAACACTTTATAGTCCGCTTCCTAAAGTACGTACCCTAATAGCCGGCTTAAGTTTTGTCAACCAGTCAAATAAGTGCGATCAATGTCACTTCATAGCGATGAAACAATTTCTCCCCTTTTTTCTCGGTAATTAAACATTAATTTATATCTAAAATTTGGGTGGAATAATTATGTCGTGTGATCTTTCTGTAGCCAAATTTGTGAAAGTTAAGAAAACCATTCAAATACTAAGTTTCCAAAACTGATATCAGGATAATACTCGACGCGTGGCCGAACGTTTCTTTGCAGCAGTTAGAATTGAAATATCTACCAAGAGCCAGGTTTCGCGTGACCTGTTTGAATATAGTGTTCAGATGCCAGCCTCTAGAACCTTGTAGTAACATGTTTATGTGCTACTTATGAATTATGAATTAAAAGCCACGCGTCGGAATAAATGTAAATTTGGGAAATGGCTCGCTGACAAAAACATCAAGAGTATTTTCAGTTAGTAAAGTATCTGGCAATTGAAACTGATTTTACAGCATCGAACGTGAGGCCCTCGGAAAATTCAGTATTGTTTGAAGGTAAGAAACAGAATTCATATCATATTAAGTTCCGTTGTTGTATTTACAATACCCGGCGAGACTGAAGTGGAAATTTAATATAAATGCTAAATCTAAAGTCTCACCAGTGTTACTTTCAAAAAGAATTGTTTCACCTTGCTAGTGTCTGTCGTTTTCAAGTCATCACACTTCTGACTTTTACATGATGAGAGACATAAATATCTTTTTCATCATAAGATTATTTATAATGCTCCATGGAGCTTTGTTTGACCAATTTATGAGGTTTGAAGGGGATGCAGTTTTAGCGAGCAGAAATGTCGCTTATAAAAACGATTAAGAATAACATGTCAGTATGATTTATGTTTGGTGGGATATAAATGGAGAAAAAGAGATACTTTATGCCGCTCTTTACTAAAAAAAACTGGCAAATAATGTGGAATAGAATTCGATTCATTTCGCGGGAAAAATAAACTCTATTCTCTTGAGACACTTGATTTTTCTTAATTGAAGTCCTTCTTCAAAGGCCACGTTTTGGTGTCATCGCAGTCAGGTAGGTTTGTTTTTTCGACTTAATTCAGGTACAAGGTTAAAAATACAAACTGACTATCTATCAGTGACTTCAAACGTGACACTTTGAGATACAGAAATTGAAACTAAAGAATAGATGGTTTTTCATGGATATCAAAAGTATAGTTTGGTGACTCCATCGCAATCCCTTTGTGACCGGCTAGGCAACCATGGCGACGACGAACGAGCAGTTCAATTAGGTTTTACGTGCAAACCAACAACTTTGAACTCGCATCACACTTCTTGGCACATTTCTTTAACGTCCACTGCACGACCACAACGTGAAACGACCTTATCTGACGTTTTATGGATATAATCGAGAACACGCGCCGACGAATTCAGTTTCCTTTTCAAACTTGGGTACAGTTCTGCATTCCAGGAAAATTTTGTCAACATTTGACAAATACAATTGAGTGAGGTTAAATAAACACGATTAAGTCTCATAAAATGCATTCTTACGGCCAGTAATTTTTTCACTGCACCAGTTTGCGTCCAGTTACTAAAAAAGAAACAAAACATACAGGTCAGATTTTCCCCCGACCAGAACTGGTGCTAACATTATTTTTGTGGTTTTCTACCAATTTTGACTTACTGGAAAAAAAAAATACTGTTTTCTATTCTCTCTTCAAGGAGGTATATCTTATCACGAAAACCGACTAAGGATTACCTCAACAGTAATGTATGTGAAATAACTATTATACACAATTATAATAACTTACTAGTCTCAGTAACTTGGTCAAACCTCAAGTTTTACTACATCTCTTATTAAGAGACAAGCAACTCACATGAATGTCGCAGATGAGAGAACAACATTAGATGAACGGTATGTTTCGTCTGCACATTATATGTTAACAGTAAGCTTGGCCGTAAAGCTTACAAGTGCAACAGGGGGGCTGCCGGTATCGATCCATCTATGAGCTTAAGGCGGAGTGTGCAAAATGTGTGATAAAGAGAAGCGATAACAGATGTAGAAATAGACCACACCACCTGGAAACTTTCTGTTCTCTTTCCGAACAACTTGTGATTTCTTTTCGAAGTCTCACCTACGAGCGTTGTGTAGCAGGCACGTCCAAGCTTACTTTGAGCCAACTATACGAGTCAAGTTTTGATTTTTTTCGCTTTAAATTGAAAGTATTTCAAGCTGAGGTTCAGAACTGTATAACTTCCCCGGGATAACTTCGAATCATCCAATTCTGTTTGAAAAAGTAACTTTCCAATCTTTTTTCTTTTTTCTTTCCATGTGGAAAAGTCACGCAAAAGGTAAATGTCATCTCGCAGGCCTGGTTGCTAGTTCCGTGCACATTTCATTATTTTATAATGGTATACAAACAAACTTAAGTAAGTACTAAGTCAGAAATTGAGTTTCACATCACGAAATCTTAGCCGACCATCACACATTACGAGATTAAATTCATGTCTGATCCTAAAACAAATTTCTCGTTATGAAGCTACCTGTAACGTCCTCGGATTAAGCGTTGTTCAAGAAGCCCGGTCCTTCATTTTCTTACTCTATCTCACTATTGGATAAAATTAAAGGGTAACGGATTTGATAGGGATTTAAGAAAAAACAAAACTTTACTGCAATCTTTGGCAGATTAATGCCCGGTTATTGTACCTGAATCCTTTATCATGAACTACATAACGGTTAGCTAGCGTTGTGCCAAGTAAGTGAAGTTCATGCAAAGTATGACCAAGATATCCCTTGTGGTTATTTGAAACTAGCGGAGAGTCTTACGTTTCCGCCCCGTTGCATTGGTTAACAAAATTGCCGCCGGTTTATTTCTTCATTGTTTCTCTTTCTTCTTTTTAGGTTGGTTGATTCATAACTCCATGCTTCTTGTAATAGTTTTTTAATCGTTCTTGTTATCTTTGATAATGTCATTAACTATATAATTACCGGTTCCGTTTTCAACGGAAATTGCTCAGTATAATCACAAAACTCAATGCTGCTTGTTAATGGAACCCCGCCCAAAAATCCAAACATCAGAACCATTTAGTTGAAAAATTAAATTAATTTTCGATGGTATGATAGGGTTATTAAGTTGATAAGGTTATAATTTCGATGAACTAGTGCATGAATTGTGTTAGAGATGAAATTATCTGCGTGAAATAACATTCTTCAAGGTTAAATACGTAAATAAAGGAAACTCTGTTTATGAAACTTAAGACTGACAAGTTATTAAGTTCATACTGTAATACACTCATGAACCCTGCTTGGTAGATGAAAACTATCGTGCTAATTGTTCTTTAATCATCCAATGTGTTTACTTTTACAAGTTTTAAATCGCCCAACCTTAAGAAATATTTCAGCCAAAAAAGACTCGATATTAAAGATATTTCATTGAATTTTTCATGGAGAAACAGTATTTGCAATACCATCGGTTGTTAAAATAACCGAATTTAATTTACTTGTTACTTTGCATTCTTGAGTAGCGGAATCACGCAGATGATAGCGCTATCTTCCAAAAAAACTGATTATCAGTTGGCCTTAAATTCTTAAAAGTCAATACCGCATCGGAACTCCTTCCAACTAGTTTTCCAAGCCTGTATTGGTTTCCTTTTGAGTAGTTTTACAGTTTTGTATGTTAATTGTGATTCTATGCTCGTTTTCAAATCGTCTAATAATTGAGTTTGCTTAAGGCACGCTAGCCTGCACAATAAAAAGCAATAATTACCGAATCAATTACTAGAGAAGCTGGTGTTAGACAAACATTTGCTTGTATTTATGTATTTTTTACATCTGAAAAGGAAATGAAATACGAAAATCTATCTCCTTAACATGATTGAAAATCGCATCATCCTTTTCTGACCGAATATGGAAACAAGAGAGGTAAGAATCCGAAGTTTTGCTATCAAGATGAAATGTTGCCAAGTCAACTACTGAGTCGACAAGTCTTTTTCCCTGGTTACAATAGTACATGAACAGGGAAATTTCTATTTGCTTTGGCAATATTACGCTTTTCAGTTTGAAATCTACTTCTCTCGCTCCTAACATAGAACACATGTACATCAGCGGCACAGCCAAAATGGCCGTGACAAACAAAGTTAGAAAAGGTAAATTGATTAAACGAAAAATGATCGGTCTCCTGCAGCGATACATCCCTTTCAGATCTTATTAAAACTTGAACAAACAAGAACGTCGATAAATAAACGACCAATAATTCCGGCGGTCTTGCTTTACAACATTGCTGTTAAACTGTTTCAAGACAAAGTACCCTGATTATCAGCCGGGAGTCTGCAGACTATTGTGCCGTTTTGAGCTGCGTACGGTGAACTTTGTAATTTCTGTAAGTTCTGGCAGATTGCATTCACTTCTTTTCCCGCCTGTTACTTATTGACATAGTTAAGGCCGGTCGGTTTAATATACTTTACAACTCTTTTTCGCAACTGGTCATTTATTTTCCATTCATATTTTTTGACAAATTGAAACTAGTCAAACAATTTTTTTTATAGATTCTGCTGTATTCATTAACAGTTTCGAAACCGGGTTGATTAATTTTTAATCAATTTTTTTCTATTTTCCCACCGGCAACACAACCAAATCTCATCAGGTTTCGAACTTCCTTTCCCGCCATATTGTTTACCAGAGCAATTAAACTACATTGATACTACATACACAGGACTTCATTCTTTACGGAACGTGGAGGTGATATCAAACTCACACGTCATCTAGCGTGAGTCAGAAGGGGTTTCATAATCCTCTTGTTTCTAGCATTGCTACGGTTAATTTTGTGTTGCGCGTGATCTTGTACACGCAAACGGCCGGTTAAGGCATTAAACTCCTTTAGGATGACGTACAGTTCTGCTTGTTAGCCATGGCAAAAGGATATCGAACGGTAATAAACGATAATAAGTTAACTGCACAGAACCTTTCTATTAACCGTGGAGTCAGGGCTAGATAGAAATCGAAAGAGGTAAGTTGACTTCAATCTTGTCGTTACAACGTCGTCAACGGTGGCATTATCAGACACTTGACTTAATTTGCTTTGGTAGTTTCGAACTAGAAAAACTCAGTTTCCTGGGTAGAAGGAGAACAGAAGTCTTAAAGAGATCGGACGCTAATTTTAACTATCCTTTTCCGGTGCGTAAGCGCGGGATATTGGAGGCACTAAAAGATCAATTTAAAGTTCTCGCGATTCTTACCCCGGGGGCTGTTTCGTTGTCTTACCGGCTTGCTGCAGTGATAAAATAATTGAAAGAACTTTCTTTGGTGGTTTCATATGAACTGGTAACACAACCAGTCTTGACATGTTATCTGTGCACAGGCAGACCAGTTTCTCGATCCAACGGATAGTCATAACAGAAATGCGTTCCATTTAAGCTTTTTTCATTCATTTTTAAGCCTGAAAACTCCGCAAGCAAGTAGTTCAATACAGTTTCACTGTTTGACAACTTTTAAATAAACCACTGTATTACTGAGTTGCATTGAAAGTGATATTCTGCCCAAAAACAATCACGATAAGGAATTCAGTCTCTTTCTCTTCGAGACCGTCCGCTGACCAAGAACACTAAGGTTCCATTACGATATTGTTTCAGAGCACTGAAGATCACGATAAATTGACGGAGATTCTTTTTACACAACGCGGGATCATATATACCACGCTATAACATTCCTTCCGCCTCTTTATAAATACTGAGACAACAACCGAAAAGCTCAGTGATGCCAATGGCTTGGAATATTTGCTGTAGCAAATTTTTCTTCCTTATTGCTTTCACTCGAAAAAGAAATCCATTTTACATCTTTTCGAGAAAAACTCATTTCAACCACATAAGCGAGGAATAAAACAGCGATATTGTTGCTTTGTTGACTTTCCTTTGTTATTTGCACGATTTAATATGTTCGGCTTTTATGCACCGACGCACAGCTCAACAAGCTCAACAACTTGTCAAAGGAACAGAAGCACAAAGGGTGACACTTCAATCAAGAAAGATCAACTAACTCCTCTCCTTTCAAAATATGTCAACAGTGAATTGAATCACTTAAATCATAGTTCAGCCTTAAGTAGCTGAAGTCTTCGATTAAACATTACTTTGCCTTCTTTCCGAAAAACAATGCTTCTGAAAAGTCCATTTAAAAATTGAAGTCGCCAGTCTGTACTTTGCAAATCTTGCGTATTTCGCAGGCTTGTCATAAAATCTGTGGAATTTAAGGAGGCGTAATCGCTTATTTACCTTTTAAGTTTACACATACGAAAAGGAATGGTTTAATTCGCTGTAATTTTATGTTTGTTTTTCTAGTTCATTCATCACTTTCTTTGTAGTTAGTGACTTGTGTGGCCTCTTACCTAAGCCGAGCCCTAAATTCCACTTAAACTTAGGGATATCAGCCTCTTGAAACATAGTTACACGGCTTTAGCTATGTTAAGGCTTACTAAAGTGTTTTCAGACCAAGTGCAAAGTTGATTCTTGCCACCTGGAGAGTTTTGCGGAGGGATACTACGTACAAGTACGAGAGTTAGGCGAAAGCAGTCCCGCGGCAAGCTAGAGAGCGAAACTAAGTACTTCACCCCAATGATATAGTTTTGGGATCTTAACAATACGCTACGCGAGTAAGTTTTCAGTTTTCAGTTCTCAGTTTTAGTTTTGTCTGGTAGACTGAGCTGTATTATAATTCAACAATAAGGCCATGTCTTTTTTTGTTTACAGGTGTAAGTAATCGGCCTTGAAGCTGTCCATGTTCACATTTGAGAACCGCAACAGAAAAGGTATGAAGTCTGTCTTGTTTTGATGAAATTTTGAGTCAACGTTGGCCCAAGGCTTCGCCGGTGTTTTGGGTCAGGTACATTCAAAACAAACAATATCTATTATGAAACGCATCGGGACATGTGAATGATAGGATAGACAAAACCAACTGATCCATGCAAAAATTCCTGCTCGATGTGTGCGATACCATTCAGGGCCGGCACGGGCTGGTTTACTTACCACTTTTCATGTTATATGTTCAACTTGACCCTTGTCAAACAAAGAAAATTTAAACGCGATAACTCATTCGGACCAATAGATTTGCGAGAAACAGTTCAGAGTGTAAATTAACAATCGCGACTTACGGACAAAGACTTCTACGGGCCCCAAGAGACTGGCTAGATTAATAAACCGTCGGAGTCTTTTAGACGTTAATATTCATCTCTGAAAATTGATGAACGGAATAGAAGAACTGCAAATCAAAATAAACTGTTCCGGTAACCCTCTTCAGAGATTGGCAGTCATGAAAGTAGTCATCTAAGAACGTCAGTGCATGGCCGTAAATAAAAAGTTGTGAATTGCCGTCAGTGTGCTGTGAGTTGTTTGTCTCAATTGCAAAGAAAAAACGACGACAATGGGCCCTCAATCTTTCTTTCCCCTGCATATTTTAAGTTTCAAAAGACATCTAATTACAAAAGCATTGTGTTGCTATTACATCAAGGAAACGAAAATGGAGCCGATCGAGCCCCAAAGGTCAAACGGCAGAGCTTGTAATCTGCTGCAAAGACGAGTGCTTGAAGCTAACTAATCGTTTGAATTTGAATGTGAAATAGTAGGTAAACGCACACTTCTGAAATATTTAAACTCACTCACCATATTATTGAGGAGAATTCGTTCAATTACATCTTGTAGACTAGATTTCATAAGAAAGGATCAACTAATCAGACTCCTGAATGAAAGTATAGTTTGACGAAAAGTCCTTATTTACCAGCTCTCGGTAGTCTATAGAAATTCCCTGCACTAAAATAGTCGAAGTACAGTGACCATGCAAAGCAGGAAAATACTGTAATGGAAACTAATCTGACTAATTGCAAGCGGATAAACTTTTACAATTAATTCCGCACAATCGCTTTAGGAATAAACCGATGCAAAATTATATTATGGTAATTTTTTGATTAACTACAAAGTTAACCTAAATTATCTGATTTTTCAGGTCTTTTGGCAAAAGATGTCTTCCGAGCGCGAGATGGTGAGAACAGCCTTCGCTGAGCGTGTCCAAGCCGGTCACTCACCGCCGTTACGAAAACGAAGAACTCGAGAATACGTGCCAAATTCGAAGACTTCAAAACGAGCAGGAAGCAACGATCAAAGCTTGTACGAGGAAAGTGTATTTAATGATGATTTAACGTACGGAAAGTTGGATAATGGCGTTTGCCTTTTTTCCGACGAAAATATGAATACCATAACACGCCCAGAGACCCAGTCAAATTTGCAGGACATATTGCGTGTTGTCCCAGAGACCTCCCATCTTAGCGAACGTTATCACATACTTAAGGCAGAGAACAAGATACTGCGAGAACGTTTACAAAATGCTCTTCAAAGAGAAATGAAAGCGCTGAAGACGTTTAAAAGGCTGGCAAAGGAAAACCGACAACTTAAGCTGAACTTGAGGAAATATGAACGAACTTTGCTGGGATTTTATGACGATGAACTAACAGGTATGGACTTAAGTTAATTTCGTTTCACTTGGTAAAATACCCATTCTATTAAACAATAATTTAGCACGAATGACGCTCGTTCTTTCATATTGTTTATGGAAAAGTTGTATCATCATTTATTTGGCAAACAAAGTCATTGAAGACCCTTTGAAGGTAGGTACAAGAGCTGATCATGAATACCATTCATTGTATACATGTGACCTATTTCAAAGCGGGGCCTTTCTAATGATGTGCAAACGGCAATTGAACACTTGCCAGGTCTATTTCGTCTTTCTATAAAGTAAATTTATTTGCAAAACTTACAACATTGTTAACCATCCTTTATTTTGCTTACATCGGAAATTGGTTGTAGTCACGTTTGTTTAACTGTAAATTGCATGATAATAACAAATTGTTATGCAAATTCCGGTGTTTTCTTTTTCGGCGAGAACGTTTTTGCTCTCGTATACGGATCACAGTAACCTAATATATCCTACACCATGATCACTTCGTGTAAGAATATTTTCAGCTTTTTCATTCTCCAGTGGTAACCTTTAGTTTTCCTTCCAATTATGTTATGGGACACATTTAGCCACCAAACAAAGTCGTACACGGGGCAAATGTTTCTGAAAATTAGAATATAAATTCTTTCAAATCTTGTAATATAGTCATTCAGATACATAACTTGTTCGTAGTAACTTTTTCAGGAACACCTGCTTATATCATATCATTATTGGCTGAGCATTTCGGCTTTGGCCCGAAGGCTTTGTGCCGTCGCCTAAATTTTAAATACAGTGATCTAAAAACTGAACTGTTTTCTTCAAACCAAACTCTTTCCAAGATCCAAAATAATGTTTAGAAAAAGCCCAAATTTTATATCCAGAGTTACTAGAAAACGAATAGTACCATTGAACAGCATAGCTCAAGGGAAAAAAGAAAACATCGGACATTATGACTCTTGATTTTCTGCAGGTGTTCCCATTATGGCTCTTGGGCGAATTTAACACTTTAGTTTTTCTCTAAATTCTTGATCTTTGCTTGGACAAAAAAGCCAATGAGAAATTTCCAAGATAGAACCTTTAAATATGGAAACCGAAAAGAGACAGTGTTGCTTATGCCAGGACTTTTATCGGAAGCTTTTATTATAGATTTAACAGAATCTGTCCCGATGCAAATTTTACGAGTTGTACTGCTTCGGTCTATTAAGATTTAGTTACGCCTTGTCCTTTCTTGTCGAAAAGCAAAATACTCAAAGGAGTTATAAATGATTGTGTTATTTTCCTGTTTATTTTTGTTTTTGTTTTTCAATTTTATAAGCCCCAAACATTCTTGGCATTTTTTGTCTTTTTTGAATATTGTCACAATTAGTGGGAACTTGTGAGAGTCTGTTCTTGATTTATCGGAGACCTCCCGCGGATTTAACACGAACCGCGACATACTACGAGGAAATGTAATTCCTGTCAGTCATTTGTTACGCATAAAAGATCACTGAATTTGTGAGGCAAATTTACCCTTCTAGAACATTTTGACGCTGTCAAATTACCCGCGATACTGCAACCGACTCTATGAATGTTACGCCAGCAGATTAACTACTTTATTCGAGTAAAATGTTGCATAACACTTGAAGAAATGTTTAAGTATTTGCACTCTTTTGTACTTTTTTTCTGTCACTCTATTCCTCAAATTTCGCCTTGTTTTTTGATGTAGATAGTTGTTAAAAGCCATTTTTTCCAAGCATCGTTCGATTGAAGCCAGCTTGCAATGTTAGTGTTATTCACTGCAATTATCAAGCGATGTTTGGACGTGAGTTTGTTTTTTTCAGTACCTGACATGCTAACATACAAAGCTATTGAACCAGACTAAATCCTCTGAAAACAATCTTTTTGTGAACGGAGCTTAAAAGGTCCCTGGAAAGCATCACTTGCGTCATTTTCCCCTGTCAATTTCATAAAACGGCATTGATTAAGTTCTTTAGCCATTGAAATTAAAAATGATTATGTGCAAAAGATCAAGTCATTCATACAAGTGTAAACTTAAAAAACCGGACATTTCTATAAAGGCTCAATTTCTCATAGAATAGAAATAAGCTGGATGGTATGATTGCTATGGATCATGAGTTAGTAGCCTATTGTTCCTTAAGTCCTCATAAAATATTCATTAACAGTTCTTGAGCGCAGACGTGCGCGAAATTGGTGAACCTTTCGACGATAACATAATGGTCCTACCTCATAAAGCGACGTATTCTGGAGTAGAAAAACCAAGGCTTCGAGCTTTTATGCTTCAAAATGTCAAGGGAGTTCATTACATCTATCTTACGACTGCTACGAAACCCGCTGACAAAGCTGGACTTTCTACACCTTTAATGAAAGGTAAATGAAAAACTGTTTCATCTTTGCGTGGATAGGTTTCCTTCGAGCATCTGACAAGCCAAGTATCTTTGTGTTCAGCTATTTTTACTTTTTTGTAAGGTTTTTTAAACTTAAAGCTATCGTCGACTTCTCATAGACGTCCTACCTTAATACGATTTTCAGAATCTCATTGATTTTAACAAACGATGGAAGCAGATTTACAATGAAAGTAAAATAACGTTGAAATGGTATTCCAAAAAAAAATCATGGCGAAAATTGCATTTTCAATGATTCTTCATACTTAACAGCTTTGTATATGAAAAGAGACTGCTGAAGTCTGTACGCCATACTCAAAGTGTGCGCGCACTGAAGTTGTCAAAACTCGACTTTTTCTGAAGCATTTCCATTGGCTTATCTCTTGACAATGTCACTGAACTGCCTTTCCGAAAAGAAAAAGCATCGAAGTATGTTATCTTGGAGCGGTCGTTTTTCAGAGAAAAAGCGGAACTTTATCGTCAGTAACAGTAATAATCATGTTGTTCAAGTTCCCTTTTTAGAAAACCCGGCAGCAAACAGCCACTGAACGGTGACGGAATAAAAAAAAGAACGCTTGAAGTACCGCGGATAAGTGGCCGAGTTACATATTAACTGATTATAAATAGAGGGAATTTACTGAAATCGACAAAGTCTCAATCTCATGACTTTTAAAGGATTACTTTAATGTCGAGAAAGAGTATTCAAAAAACTGAAGTTCATACAACGTGCAGAGTTACACGAACATCAACAGGCCTGCCACTAAGAAAAATACCACAGGAAAATCTACGTAAGGGAGTTATTGTCCTTCAACAAAGACCAGCTACGCAACTTAAAGATACAGACTTTACGGTCAGTTAACAACTTTTGCAAACACTGCTCTCACAACTTAACGCGGCGTTTTTTATTTTCTATTTATTGGTAACGTATTCACATAAGTATTCCGGTCACGATCCTTGATAAAAAGCGTTTTTGTTTTATTATTATTTGTTCATTTGTTTATGGTCACCTTGGTTAGATGACATTGTTTTCCTATTTCAATTTGAGAAGTCGCTGGTCCGTTACTTATGCTCGTATGCCCATAGCCCATAAACCGGTACAAGCAACTCCATTTTACTTTCCTCAGATGGTCTTCTTTGAAAAGATTTACTTCAGAAAAAAATCAAAGCGCTTCAATTGTATAATACGTTGGAATCAATAAACTAGAACTGCCACGTTATTAGGTTCTAATTTTTTAGCAACAAACCAAGCCTGCAAAAGTCGCACACTTTATAAACCGTAAAGTGCAAACGTTTTCAGCTGTTTCTAAAAGATTTTGACAAAATCTATTGGAAAAAACTCAACAAGTATTCCAGTTTTTTTTATTTCAGGGCAGCTCCAGATTA